TTCCTTTCTTATTGTTGTAAGTGCTGCAGATTCCGACTCATAGAGACCCTGTACAGGGTTACTGAGCAGCAGCTGGTGGGTTTGAATTGCCGAACTTGTGGTTCGAAGTCCAGTGCTTATCCAACAGCACCATACCAGGAGTCCTTCATAGATCTATACAAATTCATTTCCACATTTAAACATTTCCCCCAAATCCCAGGCCTGATTTACTTTACGTCCTCTTGCTTTCTTTCTTTACTTAATTTTTCTTCAGTTGGATTCCATATCCTGAACTGGTTATGTGATTATATGATACATCCTCTATGCCTGTGGTTATAATCAATCTGTTATGTCAATGAAAACGCTTAGTGTAGGGTGTGTCTTAAAGTAATCTCTTTTGAGAAATAAAAAGGATTAAACAAGCAAAGAAAAAGAAAAGTCAGGGAAACAGGGATGACAAGTCATATGAAGATAACCCAGGAGCAGAAGACTGCAAAGTCAATCACTCCCCTCCTTGTGCTACAAAACGTCTACCTTTATATTTTCAACCCTCACAGTCAGTCCTGATAACAATTATTCACTACTGTACCACAAGAGACCTATCCCCATCTCCTTTCATCAGCCCTACCCAAACAGATTGGATACTACTCAGTGGAGAGTCTACCTTCCTCCCAACCCTCTGGATCTTTGCTCCCTCTTGAAAACTTGTAAGCCAGTCACTTCTTGCCTTTGTAGCGCCCCCTCACTGCTTTTGGGTAGCCAGTGTCTAAGTTGCCCATCTTTGTCAACCCTGCACACCGAGGGGGTGGGTATGATCCTCACTGTAAAGATTCGTTTCATCTTTTGAGATACTACATCCTTAAGTATAGGTCAAGTTCATCAAATTGTAGCAGATTACTCTTTTTTATCTCTTCTAGTCAAGTTCTGATCATCCAGTCATTGAAGCCAGGTCAACTGGGTACCATCTGCAAGTGTGGGTGTTCTTGTGCATCTCCCCTCACTTCTTATCAGCTGGGCACTTCACTCTCCACTCTAGTCCTCTGTAGCTATGTCACTGTCTCTGGGCCCAGGAGTCCCCAGGTCTTGTCACATTGCTGGCCAACCCAGGTTCACAGGAGTCTATTGAACATGGTCGGATTTAGCTCACAACTTTATTGCTGTTCTTCCCCTATTGGTGACCTATGTGGTCACCAGCCAGACCACACACCTGCTCGTGTATTCCCCTTGAGTCTTAGTCTTGGAAGGGGGTTTACTCTGAGGGGATCTGACCACTTGCCTTGATGGCTCCTGGGCCAAGAACAACTTGCTCGTTCTTGTAGTAGTCAATAGGACTGCCGTTATTGCTTTGCAGTTTTCCTGCTGGTCTTTCTTTCAAGAAATATCTTCTGTCCTTCTAGCCGCTCCAGGCTGGTCTGCTTGTCCTTTCAAGTGGAAATTTCCCACCTCAGAAGATTCTGGATGGGGTTCAGGATTCCACCTATGGTCTTATGCAATGCAGAGGTTCTGCAGGAAGCCTCCTTCACTTATGAAAATTAAGCTCACTAAGCAAAGAGGTAATTAATAAAAATATACTCAGTAGAAAGTCTTATGTTTCACCATAAAAAAGCAGTTTTATTTTTTAAAAAGTACTGATGACTATGAAAAGAATCCAGGAATATTGAGAAGAACAGAATAACATTGAGTACACTGAAAGAATACATATTTTGATAGAAAAGAGATGGAGAATTAGGGGGGGAGAGCAGTTTTAACGGCATCCATAGACTCATTTGTAACAATAAAATTCATGAGCCCATATGAGTATTACTCCCCAGTAGTCAAGGAGTTCTGGTAGTGTAGTGGTTATGAGTTGGGCTGCTAACCTCAAGGTCAGTAGTTCAAAATTACCAGACATTCCACGGGAGAGAGATGAGGCTTTCTGCTCCCATAAAGATGTACAGCCTCGGAAATCTCATGCAGGGTCGCTGAGTCGGAACCGACTCCACGGCACACTGTCACCACCACCAGAGTAATCAGCTGGATGAAATAAAAGAGTTGAACGATATGTGGAGAGAACGTGTGATTTAGGAAGGAGAAAAGGCAAAGGTAGAAAGAAGCCACAAGTAGTCTACTAACAGAAAAAGAGAAATCCCAGGGGCTTCATAAAGTTCATGGAAAAATTTCCAATTCCATTTTTCCAGTAACTTTTTGAAGTCTGCTTGTATATCCACAGTGGCTCAACTAAGATATAATTAAGAAATGGGAAAATGAAATGGTAAACTAGAGACTGTTGTGTATAAAAGTAATTCTGGATCTCATTGAAAGGGAATGCTTTGGCCTTCACCCCTTGAGTTCCTTTCCTAGGAATTCCTTGGACTCAATGTTTCCTGAGTTTGATCATGATCCCTTATGACCTGGCTGCAAGGATGTCCCCAGGGAATAGAAAGCCACTTCTTGTCTTTTAAAAGAGTCAACACACGAAGTCTGCTAAAGCAGAAATGGAAATAAAACCAAACCCAACCCACAGTCAGACAGTAGATTTCGACTCAGAGAGACCCTATAGGGCTGCTTCGCTGGGTTGCCAAGGCAGTCCTGGTGTAACACTGTATGATAAGCACTGGACTGTTAACCAAAAGACTGGAGGTTCGATCCCACCAACTGCTCCTTGGAAACCCTATATAAGGTTGCTGTGAGTTCGAATTGACTAAATGGTACTTCACAACAATTTTACAGACGCCAACTGCCACTTCTTTCTCCATCAGAGTGGCTGGTGAGTTTAAATCACTGACCTTAACATCAGCTTCTTGTTGTTAAGTGCCATTGAGTCATTTCTGACTTGTAGTCCCCCCCCCACCCCCCACCGGTATAGCGGCTGGTGAGTTTGAACCACAGACCTTGCGGACCAGTACTTTTAGTACTGTGCCACACCGCTGTGTACCAGGGGTTCTCATAGAGATGGTACTTCCTAGATCAATGTTGCTGTTTAAGGTTTAAGTTGAGTAGTGTATTACACAGATCCATAATTTGTATTAGTTTTTACACACTGTTCAGTGTAACTAACAAACTACTACTGATGCTTAACTTAAACTCATGAAGTCTGAAGAAGTTGATTCTGTTCACATACATCTAAGGTTCTATACTTTACATAATTAATTTTGAGCTCTAAATAATGTTCTTGGCTTGAAAACTACCCACTTTTTTTCATTACACTTTATGAAACAAATTTAATAGTGATTATAAACAGTTTAAATTTTACAGAGCTATCATATCTCTGGTAGTGTAGTGGTTATGATTGAGCTGTGAACAGCAAGGTCAGCAGTTCGAAACTACCAGCTGCTCTGCGGGAGAAAGATGAGGTGTTCTGCTCCCGTAAAGATTTACAGCCTCAGAAACCCTGCCCAGGGTCGCTATGAGTCGGAACCGACTCCACGGCACATAACCACCACCACCATCATATAGGCTAAGCAGCCTTGTTAGTGTCGTGTGTTATGTATTGGGCTGCTAACTGCATTCCAGCAGTTTGAAACCAACGGTTGCTCTTTGGGAGAAAGATAAGGCTTTCTGCTCCCGTAAAGATTTATAGCCTTAGAAACCCTATACAGGGTCGCTGTGAGTTGGAACTGACCTGACGGCACATCACCACCACCACCATATAGGCTACCCAATTTAATTAGCCTTTGCTAATGGTATTACCTTTGGTCTTCCCAGTTGGTTTTGACTCTATCTCTACCCTAGAGCAGGATTTTAATATCAACTTGATATTTTACAGAACTTTTAAAGTGAAAAATCATGTAGTGCTCATGATTCTTCTACAAGTGATACTTTTAGGAGAGGGCCAAGCAATCTGATCACATCTTACTTAAATGCATAAACCAGATAATCATATCTTGAAAACCAGGAATTTCTACTCTTGCCATACCCAAGATAATGACATTCTTGGATAAGTCCTTTACTCCTACATTTTCACAATGTTATAACAAACAAACAAAAAATGAGAATCAATTTAGTTCCTCTCTCAAAACTGTTTACAATATAGCGACAGAGATTTTAAGACTATATTTTCTTTCCGTGAAAGGCAGATAGTAAAAAATTGTATGACATATCCTAAATTCAAACTTGTAGAAGTTATTCTTTTAAAGAAGTATAAATAAGAAAATTGCTTTTCACATACTGTTTGAAAAATAAAAATAGACTTAAAGTACTCCCAGCTGTGTTACCCTAAATCTCAAAGCTATGCTCTACTCTACGATGAAACAGCAGAATGAAAATGTACTAGTGTTGTGTACAAATGCTGCTTATTCTCCAAGGGCCACGGGACTCTCCAATTAAAACCAGGTCTGCAAATTCACCTCTACGCTATTTCATGCTGTGGAAAATTACAGTGATTTGTCTGTTAGTAGCTAATCGCCAGAGACTATACTCAATCTATCGCACTTGCTCCTATGTGGAAATCCTTTTTATTTATTTACCAATGTTTTACTGTGAATTATGTGATAGTTTACATGGGAGAACATTAGTTTTACATTCATCCTATCGTATATCATTTCATTGCTATGGTTACAATCCCCTCCATGCATCATCACCCAACCACAGGATATACCCTACAAGTCTGCCCCCTG